GCAAAATATTTTCGGATTTTGAAAAAATTTTTTTGGATTTCTAAATATTTTTTTGGATTTGCAAAATATCTTTGGATTTGTCAAACTTTTCGACAGTGAGTTTAAAATAAATATTGCGATTTGAAATATTTTTCGGGATTTGAAAAATATTTTTGGATCGTCCCTTTTCGGCTTCCGTGTTATACGCGTATGAGCCATGAAGGAATCCGGCTGCTATTATACGAAGTTTGTACTACGTTTAGACCACTACTTCTAAGATTATATGGTGTAACTCGGGGTTTAAATAAATCGGCTATATAGTCTGGACCATTCTCACTAAAACATTTAAAAACTATTATCAAAGATTGTTCAATACGTCTATGTTCTAAAGTATTCGTGTTTACCATCCTAAGGATTGATTCATAATCAGTACTTTTTCCCAAATTCGTTTTAGTTCGAAGACCATAATAGTTCGCATCTTCCAGTTTCTTGTTAAGTGTTTCACCTATACCCATAAATAAAGAGTTGCAGTATTCAAAATGTGATAATACAAAACTCTTGTAAGGAAGTAATATGGTATTTGCCGGTACTAAGCGCTTAAGGCGGCAAAGTGCGCCTATCTTAGAATATACTTTCTTTAACATGATATTTATATGTTCCTTAAAAGATAATTTGTTATCTAAACATATTCCAAGGACTGTGATTGGCCGTATATTGAGTTGTATCGTCTGCATAGGGGCGGAGGGAAGAAACGATGACGGTTTGGTTTATGTCGTTCATAAAGATATTAAATAGTAAGGGACTAAGGAGACTTCTTTGTGGAACGCCACATCGTACCGGTGACCAGCTAGAGCACTTGTTGTTGCATATAACCCTTTGCTTGCGGCCATGCAGATATGATCTTAAGAGTTGAAGAGCCGGTTCCTGAACGCCATAAACCTTTACTTTTGCAAGCAGTAAATTATGGCATATGCTGTCAAAAGCCTTGGACAAGTCGATGGCAATCACACCCATCTCCTTCTTACCATTTTACTCAATGACGTCACAGTATCGGTGTCGATATCGAAGAAAAACGCCAGTATCATACTCGGTATCATATTGGTTTAGATAAACTACATCGGCCCATCCTTAAGGACCACATCACGTCATTAATATTACTCACTCCATAGAGTGCCCTATGGAGTACCCAAATGGAGTACCCCTAAAAATCATGTATTAATCAAATAAAATACTTTATAAACATGGTGAATCGTCTATTATTAAAAACTGGATCATTGGATAATGCAATTCAAGACTTTTTATTGGCTTAGCCATTATGGTATATCAGCCAATATACCATAATCTACAAATATGGTAAGCGTACGCGTCAGCTTAAAATCAAAAGGGAGCTAAAAAATCCAGTTTCTTCTTACAAAATAATAATTTCTTGAGGGCGTTTTTAATAAAACAATTATTCCACTCGCGCTTGTTGGATATGAGATGATTATAGCCAACGAGGCGCGTAGCGCCGAGTTGGCTATCTATCATCTCATATCCAACAAGCGCTCGTGGAATAATTGTTAATTATCCAGCAGACTATGAGCCCAGCAGCTCATCTTCTAATGCGTGAAGGTCAAACTTACCAGCAAGGAAAAAAGAAACAACAAAGACTGCCCCTGAAGAAGAACGGCTGGGTCAGTCAGCGTTTTAAACCATTTCCTCTCGAGCTTCCAAGCATCTTTGTTGAACAAGAAAAGAAAACAGACAAACGGGATCAACCAGGCCCAAGCCTCACAATCGACGATTTAAAGAAAATACGAGACAAGGCAAGTCATTAAACGAAAAACTTTAAGCTAAGAAGTTAAATCTCTAAAGTAAGCAATTACCTTATGTTTAGAATACCTAACTGAGAGTAGCTTATTTATTTTATTTATTTATTTAATCGCTTTCACCATACTTACAATACTAAAAGGACTAAAATATACATATGAACAAGACACAGAAGAGAACAGAGGACAAGGGTGCGGGACACACAACAGAGCGAGGCTCCAAATTAAGTGTGCCCTTACGAGAAATACACAAATACTAACTATGTAAACAATAGACAGTGTAAAAAGTATATAAAAAAGTATATAAAATAATAAAAGAAAAGACGAAAACGATAAGAATAAATCCCTCATGCGGCCGATGGAAAGTCCTAATAGCAGCAGTTACCAACTAATAGAAGATCACGTGACCTACTGCATTTGCAGCAGATCGACTTCCAGGTGTTGAAGTTAGTGACGTCATAGTTTGTACGAAAAGCAGCCGAATAGCGTTGGAGTACGTGAGATTTAAACTGATTGAGAGAACTAATAATACGAGTGGATACAGGTAAGGTATTCCAGAGGTATTCCAGATACAGGTATTAGCATGAAGCGACTAGGAGTATTTCTACTCCCCCCGGAGAAAGTTGATGCTAGGGAAGAGCTCTTGCCTCTTACCTCCGTGATTAAGGTTCTATTCCTGAACCAGCAACACATTTTTTTATTGTTATTACCTGTTTGTTAGATTTTGTATTAATGCGATACGGAGAAGTTTCATCATGTTTGTCACGTATGGGAATTAAAGGTTGATGCCATTGCTCTTTCTTTTATCCAAAGGTTGGTCAAGCAAGAGATGTTTACTTCAGACGACTCCAGGAAACGAAAAGCAAAGACAGTGAAGGACACTGGAAATCCTTGGGTCCTGAGTATATTAACTCAGACGTACTAAGGAATTACTTCAGGCTAGCTTTCAATGCTTACACACCATATGTCGTTATCAATGCTGCTTGAAGATTCCAAGAAACTAATTAATTGGTTTAGATGGATGAAACAGCACAAATGAAATAACTTGTATTCGCAATCAGATGAGCACTCAAATGAGCACCTGTATCATTCCAGTGACTATTCTACTAGTTATCAGTAAATTATTGTTGTCAGCTGCTGTGCTGGAGATATCAGCTGGTATTGAAGAGTGAAGACTTGTGGCTAGAGTTACAAACTGACTGAAGGCTTTTATGGCTTCACCATGATTAAAAGTTGCACACCAACCAACAGAGCTTTATTTTATTTTATTTAGCTTCGCCAA